GTATGGATAGGAAGGAAATAGGACCTGGACAGTCCAGTTGGCATGGACACTGAGTTCACTCTCCCTTCCATCCTCTGTCCCTGCAGAGCTCTCCAGCTTCCCTTGACCTTTCTTTCTCTTTCATAAAGTGACTTAAAACTGGGATCAGCAAAGGGAACTCCGGCAAAGAAATGTATAGAGTTGGGGTTGTTGTTATTATGTTGGATACACTAGCAGTAATAAGTAGGTGACTTGCTTCAAAGTGCAGTTAATAGGCCAAGAATCAGGATTATGAATTAACCAAAAACATCACAGGAAAAAAAAAAATACCTGTGTGCATCAAGGGTAGGGAGATAGGGTACAATCTGACACTGTACTGGTAGGTCCCTTAGGAAAATGGCAGTCTTTTTAAAAAAGTAATTGTGGTAAAACACATAACATTTATCATTTTATCCATTTTATAACGTACAGTTCAGTAGCATTAAGTATATGCACATTATTGTGCAACCCTTATCATTATACATCTCTAGGATTTTTTCATCATTCCAAACTGAAGCTGTGTATCCATTGAATAGTAACTCCCTGTTCCCTTCTCCCCACAGTCCCTAACAAGCACTGTTTTACTTTCTGCCTCTATGAACTTGACTATTCTAGGAATCTTATATAAGAATAATGCTTCAGTTTTTGTACTTTTGTGAGTGGCTTCTTTCACTTAGCATAATGTCTTTAAAATTCATGCATGTCCTGCATGTATAAGATTTTCCTTCCTTTTTTAGGCTGAATAATATTCCACTATAAGTATGCACCATATTTTGTTTATCTATTCATCCATCGATGGAAACTTGGATTGTTTCCACCTTTTGGTTTTTGTGAATAATGCTGCTAAGAACATGATGTATAAATTTCTGTTTGAGTCCCTGCTTTCCATGCTTTTGGGTATATACTCAGAATTGTTGAATCATATAGTAATTCTATTTTTAATTTTTTGAGGAGGAAATGGGAATTTTAGTTTGGGGAAAAATTGAACAAATTATTTAATGACAGTTCATTTACAGAGTTGCTTTCATGAGCATCACGAATCTTGGATTCTGTTGTCACTTCTCCTATTAGCTATGTAATCTTTAAAGTCTCTTGAATTTTCAGTACCACTCTCAGTTTGCTCATTTGAAAAAAGATGTTTTTTAAATTAGTTGATATCTAAGGTCCTGTGAAATTCTAAAAATCTCTAATTCTGCATATTCTCTTTGGTATATGAGTTCATCCATTCCTTTCTTCATTCATTTTGGAAATGCTTTTTGAATGTCAGAGCAGGTTTGTTTTGTTTTATTTTGTTTTTTTCCTCTCTCTGTCTCTCAAAGATAAATAGGAGTTATCCAAGGGGAATGGGAATGGGGAGAAGGAAGGCTGGGGTAATAGCTGAAAGAAGAAATAAAATGGACCATGAACTAGTGGAAAGGCAGGTACCAAGAGAAGGCTGAAGGGGTAAATATGGGTCAAAACTCTTTAGGCAGAGTGACCAACTTTTAAGATTTTGCACTTTATCCTGACATTAATGGGGAGCTATTGAAGGGTTTAAAGAAGGCAGTAACAAGATCAGTCTTTGTTTTAGAAAATCACACTGACCAACAACAATGTGGAGAATGAACTATAGGTGTTCAAAACAAGTTACCTATTCTTTCTCCTCTTTGTTGTGGTTTTCTTTGACAGTGGGAAAATTAGTCAAGATGTCCCAGAACCTAATTTGGAACAAAAGACATTTAGATCAAACTTATTTCATCTTGGTAAACAATACTGTACTGAACTTCTCCTTGCACTGAAAAGTATTTGTCCACTGTTTCCCCTGAACCATGAAAACTACTCATCATGTAGTGTCTTCAGGTCATTAGCTTGCCAATTAACACAATAGGACTATGACATTAAAGAAATTTTTAAAGATGTTCTGATCAGGAATGATTATCCTTTTGTCTACAATGTTAAAAAAAATAAATATCACCATATTAATATCACTTATATATTTCATGAGAAAACTTTAGAAAACTCATATTTAATTAAGTGGAGTTTTTCCTTAATTGGGATGCAAATAGTCTACTTCTGGCTTTATATAATATTCTTTATATAAATAATGTAGTATTCTAAAATCATAAAAATACACAGTGATGCTGTTTTCCTTTTTTTATATACCTCATTTTCTTCACTCTGAAAGTTATATGTTGTGCTGCATCAGCAGATTATATACCTATGAAGACAACAAATGATCCCTGAAGGCCATTATTTTTAATGGGTGAAGAAAAAGAGTTCTTAGATCTTAGTTCTATCTTAGATCACACAAATGCAAAACAAATTGTTTGGTAAAATACTCTGAGTTTTAATATGCAAGAATAATGCCTTGGTTTACTGCAGATATTAAGATTCATTCAATCATTCATGCCTTGTTTAGTAAAGTAATGCCGGAAAGAATGGCATTTGCCTTCAATAAATTTTGGCAGTTTGGCATAATTTTTACTTTGTGTTAAAGAAAACCAAAATGAGAGCAAGGAGAACCAATTATAAAGAGTGCTTTAGTCTGGCGAGGATGCTTGAAATGGCCAGCTTGTAGCAAGCAGGGCCAGGCCAAGAGCTGAGAAATTAAAGTTTGTATGGTACGTGGTATGTTTTTGGTATATTGAAAAAAGAAGTGCTTCAAGAAAGAAGCCAAAGAATGGTAAGTGTTTCTGGTTTTAACATTATTCCTGTTAGTTTGCTAGCCTGCCCAAGAGCTACGAAGTTAACAATAAATCAAATATATTTTGTCACAAGATAGCACACAGAAACAAATTATTTTCTGCCAAAGTATTTCTACTAACCCTATCCACTCCCCAAATTTACACTTACTGTCAAAAATTAAGAGCTATCAAATAAATTCAAGGCTGGGAAACATTTATGGGATGCCACAGTAGCCTGGCACTCCGTTATGTTCTAGGAACTCAGGACAAGTAAGTGATGATCTGGTCTTCAAAGAGGCAAGTGACTCTTGGCAAGGCTGGGTTACTTTATTTGCCAGAAGGCCAGACCTGAATACCTTCTCCAGGTCATTCAAAACATATGACACATGACATTGTACCAAATAACAAAGCACATCCTACCTCACTGCTCTCCTTCCAAAGCTAATCCTTATGTTAGTAGAACTAACTTTTGAAAGCCTCTGTTTGAATATCAGATTGCAGTAAACCCTACATTCTTATGTGGAATCATAGTATTTGAGTAAGTCCTGAAAACATAATATGCATGACACTTGCTTCAAGGTGTATTAAAAACATAACAATTCATGTTCAGTTTAGTTTCTCAAAGTCAAAATTTGAGAATACAGTTGGATTTTATATTACAGATAGTTGAAAGAAAGACTCATTGCAAGGTCAATATCAGTACTTGTTAAAATACTATTTGAATTTGGGGGGAGGGTGTAGTGTGACCAGGAAACAGTTTTTCTCAGTGGATAACAGTGACACAGACACCTGTTATTTCCCCAGCTAAGTATTAATTGGAAAGGCTTATAAAAATTCATCCTCCTTGTTTTTCTTTTGTAAATTTGAATGTAAATAATGACTCAAATACGTAATTTAACAAGTATCGTTATTGCTGTGATATTGTTACTTGATCACTCCAGTTGTCTCAATTTGCTTATGTCCTTTGCTTTAATTTTTCTTAAAAAAATGTATTATATAACATTACTTACTATTTATCTTAATGAATATGCTAGGTACAATAGTAATAGACTTCCATGAACTGTAGATAAATAGTTAGAATTAACTTTGACATCAAAAACAAAAACAGACAAATAAAAAAAACTTTTTGTTCTCACAGTTCATGATATGAAAGTTTAACATAACAATCTAAATTGAAAATTAAAAAGCACTTCACTGATAGAGCAATCCCACAGTCCCATTATGAGAAAATCTGAAGTTTTTCACTATCAGAAATAGTTGCTTTGAAAATAAAAACATGATCAACTAAGAAATCACCATAATTAATGCAAATAGTGTTCAGATATTTATTATTTCCATCAAAGGAGGTGCCTGTTGACTTTAGTTCTAAAGCAGCAACACATTAAGAATTTTATTAATTTTTCCTATAACATATTAGAGCTTGATTTGTGATTTTTCCCTTTTAGAAAAAAATTTAAAAAGCTTGATACCACAGAAGTTTTAAAAAGCTAACTCTCCTGCCTGAATAGGGTCTCTGTAAATGGCGAATCAAGGTTGTACAGAAGAATATTAATCACAAAAAGTATTAATTAAGATAAACTTTAGGGATGCATTTCCCAAGTTTACAGCCCTGCCTAATGGCTAACAAAGACTTCTTTATTTGTTAGTTTTCATACATCCATGTCCATGTGTGAACCAATACATTTTGGTCTATCACTTTTATAGTTATAAATCAGACTCATGCCCAACTCAGAGGCCCTGAAATCCGGGTCTTTAAGAAAAAAGGACAGTGGTGGTGATGCTGCCTGGGAGAGTGTGGGCTTCCTCTGGGTTGCTAGGCCGCCTTTCTGTGGACCTAGATGTATAACCTACTTTCATTTGTCTCTAACGACTGAATTAAAACACTCATTTATCTCCAAGTCATTATAACGTAGAAACTGTGCACTGTCTACACATCATGGGCTGTGAAACAGCAGCCAGCACACATGACAGACTCAGTATGTTTGAAATGTTGGAGCAAATGGGGTGGTTGGTTTTGAATTCATTTGCACTCATTTTTACTACTTGAGACACGCTCATTAAAAAGCTGTATTTCAACTATGTTATATGCTCCCATTTAACTGAGCTGGATTTTCTCAGCACTGCTGCCTCTGACTTTTTAATTTGCTTTGAACAGGAGTATTCTTCCAAGTTGTGGACAATTCAGGCAGACTTTATCAGGTAAAGCCAAGTCTTCCTCTTTGCCTCTGCCTTCCACCCTGCTCCGGGGACCCACAAGTTGGCATTGCAGCTAAAGATGGGAACTGCAGATCCCAAACCATAGGGCTGAATCACGCTCACTTTCTTCAGGGCAGCTGCTCACTGGCATTCTGCTCTGCACTTAAACCCTTTAAAGCTACAAGCAAACTTTGGGAAAGTTACATCACCATAAACAAAAACACAGTTGCTTAAGTTATTATTATGCAACATTGTGTGATTACACATCGACACAGCAATTATTTTCCCAATTTGGCAAATACGACCCGCTTTGCAGCTTCAGGGGAAAGTAAAAATCCGGGATACCTTCAGGAATGGAAAAGGTTTCCCACCCTCTGGAGAGAGACTTAGGTTTTATCCTGCAAACAAAGTGGGACGCCAAACCGTCTCTCAAGTCTTTCGAACCCCACATTTTAAATGTAAATGATTGGTCTGGGGTGATCCATATGCTCGGAAGAGCAATACAATCACGAGCACGTGAAATTCTGGATGTGCTTTTTAAAAACTCTCAGGCATCAGTACACATCTGGTAACTAATTTATTAATTAGCCTTCCCACCCTCCTTCCCCTCCGCAAAAGTCTGGATAACCACTGGGCATTGTCTGCAGCCCAGGTGAGCTCTACAGATCGGGTCGGAGATTGCCCCCACCCCCACCCTGCCGCTCTGCAAGCACTGCAAGGCTGGGTGTCTAAGCAGAAGACGAATCAAACAAGTTCCGGATACGTTTTATTAAAAATTTGAAACCAGATAAAAAGGATCAGTTTGTCAAAAGCAAAACAAAAATGGTAACTACTTGTCGAAAGAAAAGAGAGCGAGGACAAATGACCCGCGCAAGTGCATATGACCATTTTTCTCCCTAAGCTGTCTCAGAGCAGACAGAGGATGGGGGCGAGGGAGGGAGGGATGGAAGGAAGAAAGAGGATTTTGAGCATCATCTCCCAGTCTGCAAAGGTCTGGCCTCCCCTGTGCTCAAGAAGCGGTGGTAGCCATTTTCATTTTTCCCCCCCTAAACGTAAAAGGAAAATAAAACAGAAAAGGTATATCTCCTTTCCTGCACTAACGGCTCTGCTCGTCTTTCTACAGGGGGAAAAAAAAAAAAAGGATTTTAACAATCTCAGGTACAAAACCTAATCCGCATGCATCCAGTGAGGCTTCAACTCGATTCGATTTGGCGACCCGCACTGAAGGAGACGTGATCTTGAAAAATCAATCCGTGCTCCCCCCCCCCAAGCCGCCGCCGCGGCCGCCGCAGTGGCCACAAAATTAGCGGCTCCGAGGACGTTTTTGCCGCAGTGCACGTCCGCCGTAACCGCCGAGCACTCGGGTGAATAATGCCAGTACAGTGAGCTGACGATCGGGCTGATTGATCACGCAAAATAATTCACGACTTCAGTCCGGCTCTCGGTCCTGCCACTTTAAATCACAAACGCGCGTCTACACCGTTCTATAGGGGCCCACACATGCATGGTACACGTGTGTGCGTGTGTGCGCGCGCGCGTCTGTGCGCGCGCGGAGGGCCAAGTGAAATGATTCCAGATTGCATCACATATAGGAACCGGGGGAAAAAAAAGAGCCAAAGAGCCCCTCACCCCAACCACTACCCCCACCTTTTGCAGCGTGGACAAGTGGCTTGTAAGGCAGCTTGGAGCAAAATAAAGTCTGAACAAAACTAGACTGTGAGACTAGCACGTCGCAGAGTGAGTGAGTGACGTTAACGCAGACTCGGTAAAGACTCACTTGCAGGCAAAACTAACATGCCCCCACCCTTTCATTTTTTAATAAAAGAAGGACAAGAAAATCATTAATTGAGTTCAGATCTTAAATGCTGCTATCAAAATGCACGCACATGTTGAAGACTCTGCGACTGTAATTTCTTGGGTAAACATCTGGTGAAGACATTCCAGGAACACATCTGAAAGGAAGAAAGGCGTAAGACAGCCCCTTCTTTATATATCGTGGGTCAAAAAGAGTTGTTAAAACTTTTTTTTTTTTTTTTTAAGTATGCTCTTAGTGAAAATACCTTTATGAACTCTCAGGACGAATTCGGGTTGGGAGAAGGATTGAACTGGGAGTGGAGTCCTGGGTTCCAGACATTGCCATGGTCTGTGAACTTAGGCAGGTCTCTTTTGCTGTGGCCCTCTTTTCTCATCTGTAAAATTGCAGAGGGTAAATGATATGCTTTCTAAGATATTTTTTTTTCTTCACTAACATGATTCTAGCTAGAAGGGAATAATGATGGGGTACAAGGAAGAAGTTTTAATGTAGAGAGAAAAAGAGGTCACATTCTTCAGGTGGCATCTATTTAAACTAGTGGTGATGAAAGTGATGAGTCCAGTATGCCTGAGTCCTTAACAATAAAGATTGTGTCTTTAATTAAGAGCTGCTATTGTCCCAGCTCTGAAGTATAGATAGTATATAATGAATGCTCTTTGAGGATGACATTGTAATCTTGTAATTATATTTTTGGGGGTAGAGACTATTTTCAAGGATCAGCCAAAATAATTTTGGGATTGGAGCAATTTTCAACATTCTTATTTATAATCTGTTTGTGAAACTGCATTAAATTACTTGGATAATTTAGAGAAAATAAGTTTTTAGTAGGTCTAAGAGTTATGTGCCATATTGGCTGTCAAGATTGACTGAATTAAGGAGATTAATTACTCTGTCTACTGTTTCGGAAAACAACTCCAAGCAGGGTTGCAGGCAGAGACCACTCTTTGACATTCCTCTTGTCTGTGTCATGAGTGGTCAGGAGTGTGGGTGCTAGGGCCAGACCACTAACTAATTTTCACAGGCACCAGCTGAGTAATCATAGCCAAATTGCTTAGTTTAGTTGTGCCTCAGTTTCCCACATTATAAAATGGGGATTATAATAGCAACTAATTCATAGGGCTGTTGTCAGGATAAATGAGTTATCATATTAAAGTGCAGGGAACAGAGCATGGCACATGTAACCAACAGCTCAATAAATGTTAGAGGTTATTATTACTCCAGTGTAAATACAGGGAAAGCAAGGTCAGATATAATAGAGGGATCTTTGAACTGCTCCTGAATTTCAACTAAGGCCTCTAAGCACTTTATCAGGCTTTTATGATGTCAGCTTAAAGCAGGGAGCACAGCAGTCTTTATTAAGAATAAACCAAAACATTCTCTACCAAACTCCATTCCCATACATTCAATAGTCGTGAAGTTGGAGAATTCTCCACTTGACCAGGGCAATGCAAATGTGTAATATTGGGTCTGTATGTTGAGTGTCTTGACTGTCAGGTGGTAGGAAGCCAAGATTTTCTTTGGGTAGAAGTTTGCAGGGAATCAGTTCCTGCCTGTTCTGTTGTGATACTTTCTTTCCTACACAATTTGTTAACCTCAGGCCTAGTCTCTGTCATTGAATTATGGGGTCAAAACAATTGCAAATCTCTGGCGTGCTCCCTGCGTGTCATTATTAGTTTAAAGGGGAAAAGCAACATTTTGACTTTTTCTCCTAATGACCCCCTAGAGTGCAGACTTGAACCAGGCTTTAGGAAGGGTAACAGGCAAGGAATGCTTAAGGGAGCAATCCCGATAGTGTTTGCATTTGGGGATTGGAGGCGAGCTGTAGTTAAGCTTTATAGGGGAAGTGGAGATTAGGTGTTTCCAGAACAAGGTGGAAGCTGGCAGGCGTCGGTCCCTGCATGTTGGAAAGGTCCCACTTCTTTCTTCCCGTGGCACCTGAAGCCCCAGGTGCACTAACTGTTCTACCAGGAGCCGGGAAGAGACCGCCCCATCCAGGGCCGGCAGACCTGGGGCGCCGGGGGTGAAGTCCAACTCCAAGTTGAGGGGGCTGTACGCGCCGGTTTCAGGTCTCCGTTAGCCAGACGACGTCTTGCTGAAAGCGCAGGGAGAAAAGTTGTGTTCCGAGCTCTAGCTAGTGCGTGCTCGACTCCACTTTGTCAATCTGATTAACACAATCTCCTAAATAAATCAATCAATACAAGAGGGTGTGCTGCCTTTCATAACACCTGTTTGCCTTCCTCCTTTTCGCCCGTGGGGACTCCCACTCTCTCCATCATGGACATACTCCCTCTAAAGAGGCGCTGTAAGGTGCCGAAAGGAAACCCAAGGTCCCTGCATATATATAAAGTATATAGGAAATTATATGCTTTAAGATTTTTCCGGAGGCAAAGGTGGGAACCTTGGAGAATATCATTCCTCCGCGCCCCCGCAGCAACTTGGCCCCAGGAGCCGCTGGCGCCTGGCCTCGCATAGTTTTCGGAGACCTCCACGGAGTTCCCGCGAGGACCTCACGGATCACGGTCCCCAGTGGCCCGCGGACTTCCCCTGTTGCAGAGATATTGGGGGAATTTGAGAATAAATCCCTTCAGCTCCATCTTCGGTCCTCACCGCTCGGAACGACAGGTCGAGTATCCCCCGATCCGGGTCCTGGAAGGGGGCGGGGGCGAGGGCGGGCGGAGGGACCGAGCGGGAGTCGCAGGAGCTGACCGACAAGGTCACGACCGCCAGGCTGCTGACCGAGGCGCGCAGCGGCCGGCGCCGCCCTCTGGCCCCGGGGCTGACCCCGCGCCGCTCGGGTCTCGGTCACCGGCCTGGCAGGTCCCTAGGAGTAGGAGGGGGGCGACGCCGCAGAACCAACCCTTACTTTTGAGTGGAAGCTGAAACCCGCGGGGTTCCCTGGCGAGCGGTCTTGGAAGGAAGATCAGACGCCCAGCACAGCTGAACTTTTGAAGGGGCTCTCTGCTCTGCCACCCTCTTTCCTAGTGGCGACTTGTGAGAGACTTTTGTCCCCTCCCCTCCGCGTCTCCATGCCTGGGGAACTTGGCCCAGATGGCCTAGTTCTCAATATTAATTGGTGGTTCCACCAGCTCAGCCCCGCTTCTCTCAGACAGATACCGTCTAGGGTATCTTGGAGAGAAGGAAACGCGTTCAGTGCTCCCCCCACCCCCACCTCTTTTCGAGGGAGTATTATGTGATTTTAAAATCTTCTAGGTGTTAAGAACCAAACAAAACAACAAAACCAAAAAACAAAATACGCTGCCTTCACGTGAGTGGATGTGAAGTGAATCCAAGCCTTCCTTGGATTCTGAGCCAGCCTTTGCTCAGATAGTAAAGACCCC